GTTGAAGCAGCAAACAAGAACATCAAGAAGATCATTCAGAAAATGGTGGTGACATACAAAGATTGGGATGAGATGCTTCCATTTGCTTTACATGAGCAGCAAACAAGAATATCAAGAGGATCATTAACTGGGGCAACCCCATTTTCCTTAGTTTATGGAATGGGAGCAGTCCTTCCAATCAAGGTTGAAATTCCATCTTTAAGAGTATTGACGGAAGCCAAATTAGAAGAAGCAAAATGGGTCCAAACCCGTTTAGATCAACTAAATCTCATTGAGGAGAAATGTTGAATGCAATTTTTCATGGCCAATTATACCAAAAAAAAAGCTCGCGAGATTGAAAACCTAAAAGGGCAATCTAGGCAAAAAAAAGGTTATATAAAAAAATGCTCGCTAGATTGAAAACCCGAAAGGGCAATCTAAGCAAAAGTTAGAGCAATCCGCTAGATTGAAAACTCAAAAGAGAAATCTAGGCAAAAATTAGGTAAAAAAAGAGAGCTGGTTAGATTGAAAACCTAAAAAGGCGATCTAAGCAAATTCAAAAGCAAATTCAGAGCGACATGCTAGGTTGAAAACCCGAAAAAGCAATCTAGCAGATAAGTATCATGCCAATTTTTGAGGTATCAATTGGGGCAAGCCACGGCAGAGCTGAAAACTAGGGCAAAATGCATTGAATTATCCTCTAAAGTTTATTGGCGAGCAATCAAGATTATTGAACTACAGTACTAGCAAGTGTCACTCACACAACAGTTACCTCCTATTGCTACCATTGTACATATTTGTCATTCTTGTCATACAATGACTTCTTTTGTAAACACATTCTTACTCTCTTAAATAAGATTATCCTATCTCTATGTTGCCAATTTTTTTTGCATTTTATGATAATATACTGAAAGGAAATGCATGTTACATCTAAAAAAGGAAAATTCAAGGCATTACAAATTATTCTTATGAGTTTTAAAAGTCACAATATGCTTGATAATTTCTTGATAAATGTTAGAAAGCGCAACCAACAGGATAACGTTGTTTCAACTCATAAGTGCTTACAACAACTTAAGGGTAACCCAAGAGAATAGTCAACTATCATTCAAGACAAAAGTATCCAAAGGCCTCACTCATCCATGATCCTTGGCTGTGTGTCACGATGAGAAATTTCTAAAAAATAAAGCAAAAGCAAAAACAAAAAGGGAAATAAACAAAAGTTTAAGTCTTGAAAGTTGTGACTCATAAACATTTTGCATCATATCACCATTGCATCACATTTCATTTGCATCTCTTGCTTCCTAGAACTTATGACGTAGAGTTTTTAGGCTAAGCACTTACTTCACATTTGACTTTCTATTTAGGCCCAGTATTTACCTGGCACAAGTTGCATTTTTCTTTTGTATAAGCTCAATACTTACCTGGCACAAGTTACATTTTCTTTTGTATAAGCCCAATATCTACTTGGCACAAGTTACATTTTCTTTTAAAGCCCAGTATCTGTCTGGTACTAGTTATATCTTTCTTTTTAAGCCCAGTATTTGTCTGGAACCAGTTATATTTTTCTTTTAAAGCCAGTATCTACCTGGCACAAGTTACATTTTTTTTTGTATAAGTCCAGTACTTACCTGGCACAAGTTACAATTTCTTTTGTATAAGCCCAACATCTACCTGACACAAGTTACATTTTCTTATAAAGCCCAGTATCTGCCTGACACCAGTTACATTTTTCTTTTTAAAGCCCAGTATCTACCTGACACCAGTTACATTTGCAGTGTCCCAAAGCGTCAGAAAAGTAATTGCTTTGTGCAGAGTCATGAATACATTGTTTACGGTTGTTGAATGTAATTGATTGACTCCTAACTCCACCTTCTATTTAAATGAGCTAAGCTTTGTTGTTTCTGTGTGTTAGTCCTTCTCTACAACAATGTCTTCCTCTGTTCAAGAACTTACTCCATCAACAATAGAAGCTATGTCTTGGGTAGCTGGATAAAATTAATTCACATCTTTATTTATTTCTTATTGCAACTGATCTAAATCACCTTATTTAGATTATTTAAAAAGAAATAAATAAAGAGGGGCAACTGTGAATAATCAATTTTATCCGGACTCACAAAAATAATGAAATGCACATCTACTATGAAGGGAAGGAGTTCCCAAAGTATGGAGGCAACATCATATGACAACAAAAAAGTTTGAAGCAAAAAAAAAATAAAAAAATAAAAAATAAAAATTTGTTAAGTAGCCCAGAACGGACCATTCCAAATTCGAAACGGGCCGTTCCAAGATACAAAAAAGAACAACAACCCTAATTAAGAACGGGCCGTTCCAAAATGGGAACGGGCCGTTCCAAGTCAATGAAAAGGGCTAAAACCTATGCTTGGAACTGGTCGTTCCTAAAATAGAATGGGTCGTTCCTAAAACAGAACGGGCCGTTCTAAGTTATTTAAAAGGCCTAAAAGGCTTCATTTGGAACGGCCATTCTAAAGTAGCCAGTTATGTGTTAAACTCATCGTTGGAACGGCCCGTTCTAAAATTAGAACAGCCCGTTCCAGTAACAAAATTAACACATAACGTCCATTTTCAGAACGGGCTGTTCCGATTTTGGAACGGGTCGTGTATGACATCTATAAATAGACGTCTCGGGCACTATTTTCAGGACTGGGAAAATTTTGTCCAAAACTCTTTAGAGCCCAAAATTTCTCTTTCTCTCTCCTCTGTATTTCTTAAGATTTTGTGAGGAATATTGTAGTGTGTTAGGTCGCCAAAAAGTGCATAATAGATCATTATATTCAAAGATTCAACAAGTTCAAGCATCTCATTTGGTATCATTTATTTATTTATTTTTATTTTTTTTATTTAATAATTGAATGTACATAGTGAATATGATTTGTTGTCTTTAAAATAATTATTTAAAAAGTATTTATTATACAATAAATAATAATGTTAATTGAATTACATTTTTATCTTTAACATTATTTGGTTCTAGGAGTTTAATGACTAATCATTTGCTAGCTTAAACTCTCCTGTACAAAATTTCTTTTTAAAGAATAAAGATGTTGCAACCAATAACGTTAATTAAATAGCACTTCTATTTTTAACGTTATTGGAGGGATTTATTGATTAGCTATTTGCTAACTTGAATCCTTATGCAAAATCTACTTCCTTAGATAAAAATATAAACATAATTTTCCTTCATGTATACTAATTTTTATGGTTAATGATATTAATTGAGTAGCACTTCTACCCTTTAATATCATGTAAATCATAAAAGTTAATAGAATAATTATTCATTGTCCTAAGCTTTAAGCATAATTTAGTATCAACAAATAAAAATCAATAACATTGATTGAATAACAATTCTATCTTTCATGTTATTGGAAGGGTTTATTGATTA